ACCCCAAACCTCTTAGCACCGTAGGAGAAGAAAAAGGAAATGAGGAAAGGGAGAAAGTAGGTCTCTAGAGTTTGGGTTTTGGTTTGGAACTTTGATTCAAGGTAGAGATTTTTTCTCATTCTCCTATATTTTGAGGCTAGGGCTTATGTATATATGTACTCTTTTGACTCTAAATTCAATATGTATGTTATAAAATCTTTAATTCTTGCTATTCTTGCAATAAATGCCATGTTTTAAACAATGTGATGGTTGGATAACCATTAAAGCTCTCTTTTTCATCTTCAAACTTAGAGTTTAAGAAAAATGAATTTTTCTCTTCATAATTTCTTTGTTCTTGATTTTCAAATTTTTGGCTTTCCATTAAACAATGAAATGGTATTGATATTGATCTCTTGTCTATTTTTCTTACATGGTTCTATTAGATAACATACGATAAATTTTAGAGATTTTGAGAATTATAAACTTTTGTTGAGAAATTGTTGGTGATTGTATTTCATGGAGGTGTTTGGATGACCATGGGTGGCCGTTGACCGAGTATCATAGAGTGGGTAGATGTGTGTGGTTCTTATTCCGTGCGGGTGTGAACTTTTTCTACCACTCGTAGTGGGGTTGGTGCCTTGCGAGGATCAAACTACTATTAGCGCACGGGTGCCGTGTCAGAGGGTTAATATACTATGCCTGTGTCGGATTCGTTATTGTCAGTGCATTGGTATAGGACAATGCATCGGTAGGTGCCCTTCCTGAAGTTTGATATCCTTGCGAGAAATTGTGTGTGTGTGGGGTAGGATATTCTATGTGTTTATTCATGCGATTATCTTACATTAGACTTGAGATACATTTTGGTTATTGTTTATTGCGTTATCTTTTGGATATGATTATCTTGGAAATTGTTGTGGGAATGATTACTCTTTGGAATGGTTATTTATGGTGGGATTAACTTTACTCTTGTACTTAATTATTGTTAATGTATAAACTTGAGATCTTTTAAAAATATCATGTTTTCTTTCAAAATTTAAGTATGCTATTTGTAAAATGAGACCGACCATTTTTTACGTTTTTCAAATCTTGTTAGAGTTTGAGAGGATTGTCCTACAGAGTTTAATGCTCACCCCTACCAATAATGTTTTTTTTTTTCCAGATTTCGTGCTAGAGGAAGATCCCGCCACCAAAGGGAAACCTAGATACAGAGGTGGACGTCTAGAGCTATAGTTTATTTTTGTGCTAGACTAAGAAATTTATTTACGATCATGTATAGTCTAGTATTTTGTTTATTCCGCTGCTAAGTTTAAATGTAATTCTTTTGGAATGTAATTGTCATAGCTTGACATATTCTTTTGGAATGATATTATGGATATTACATATGGTGAATGAAATTTTATTATTTGATGGATTTATTTAGTGCTCTTATGATGTGAATGATTTTAGATAGTAATGTCGTCTAAGGGGGATTTTGGGGCATTACAAATCGAACTCATATGGACTGTTTTAATGTTCACTTATAAATGGACCCGGTGTGGTTAATGTAGCATAATTACACAGGTTGTGTTTTGGATAGAGCTCCCAGTACAAAGGAGACTTTGTCCGAATTATGTTAAATTAAGGACCCCCCGATTTTGGGGGCGTTACAGACACTTACTGAGCTGACAAGCTTCACAAGACACATACAACACATAACTAAGACTGAGAACTTGATGCTTCAAATTCTGAAGAGAAAGATGATCAAGACGGCAATGCCATTGGAAAGGAGATGACGAGGTTTGTAGAGCCCGAGTAGAGGAATCAAAGTCAAAGTAATAAAGACCACCGACTTTATGCCCCGTACCAATCTTTCTCTTCGTCTTGAGATCTTGAAACACATAAGAAGAGGGATAAAAGGTTAAGGAACAATGAAGGAAACGTGTAATCTTGCTAATGGAAAGTAAATTAAAAGGAAACTGAGGAACAAATAACACAGAGGATAGAAACATATTAGGACTCAATTGAATAGTCCTCAAACTGAAAATTTTAGAAGAAGTACCATTAGCAAGAATAACACTATGTATAGAAGTAGTAGACTAATAAGTAAAAAGGACATCAAACACACCGATCATATGGTTAGAAGTGCCAGAGTCCATGATCCATGGACTGCGAGTGCAAGACAATAAACAGATGGAAGCGGTACTTGACTGAGCAAAAGTAGTAGTATAGGAAGATGGAACAACTTGTTGTTGAGATGAGAATTGAGCATACTCCTCCCGTGTAAGAGTAATTGACCCAGAATCAAGTGGAGATGACCAATGTATAGAGGCAGTAATCGAGATGTCATCGTGATAAGAGACCTGGCTAGCAACATGCGAAGGCTTGCCATATAAATCCCAACAATAATCAACAGTGTGCCCTCCAAGACTACAGTGAGTGCCTGAATGAGACCCTGACAACCCTCCATGATCTTCAGAACGGTTACCAGTACGGCCTCCGTGACTACCACGATTACCACGGCCACCTCGGGAACTATCACTATGAACGATCAGTAGGCACACCAGACTCCGTGTTAGATGAACCAGTATAGAAGGTAGTACACTGCAAGCTGGAGAAAACCTCGAATAGAGATAGAAGACTAGAGCCACCAAAATTTGAGAGCGAATAGACTCATATTCAAGTTTTAAACCAACTAAAAACTGAACAACGTTTAAATTCTCATGCTGCTTCTATCAAACCGTTGCATCAGTAGTAAATGGGTGGTAGAGCTTCAACTCTTCAAACACTCCCCGAACATGAGAGTAATAGTCCTCAACTTAGAGTATCCTGCTCCAAACAAAAATACTAGTTGCACACTTCATATGTACGAGTGAAATTTCTAGTGCCAGAGTACATGATGGTCAAGTGATCCAAGATCTCTTTGGCCGTATCGAGATAAAGCAAAATAGAGCTGATACTAGGCTCAATACTATTCAATAGCAATGAAATAATCTGAGCATCTTGTTATTCCCACATATCATATCCAGGAGTACCTTTCTTGGGTTTAGTGTCCATTAAATATTTCTTAAACTTTTACCTCTAAGAAACACTTGAATAGATCGTGACCACAAACCATAATTGGTCCCATTGAGTTTAACAGATTTCATGGGACCATTAAGTAGAATCGTAGGAGAAAAATTCGGTAGCATGGGTGGAATAAGATCAGATTGACTATCATCAGTTTTATTCTTGGGTTTCATAATAGTATAGCAATAATAGAACCAAAGGAAAAAGTAAAAAGAACCGCATTTCAGCGAAGGGAAGAGGCTGGAAGAACTTGAACAGTGGAGTAGGTGCCTGAACCGGACCAAAAATAGTGGTTGAATACTTGAATCGAGTGTGAAACACCTGTTGGATGGATGACGCGGACCAAAGAAGGCTGTTGGATGCCAGAACCGGACCAGTGAAGGCTATTGGATGCCAGAACCGAACCGAACCAAGAAAGGCTACTGACTGCCTGAACCGGGCCAAGGACACTTGCTAAATGTCTGAATCGGACAAGAAACTAGGAGCTGTACTACTAAACCGGTGCGAACTAGCCTGGAAGATCTGAATAATGCTGAACCGAGACTAAACCAGCCTTGAACCGAACCAGATTGAGGAGAACCGATGATGAACCGGTCTGCTGCTGGATTGGGCCGGCTATCTTAATTGAGTTGGCTATTTCAACTGGGCTGGAGTGAACTGAACTGGACTTGCCAGTCTTGGACTGGGATCAAGAACAACCCAAACCCGCCTTAGCCAAATCGACCCATACTGACCCGCTAAGGGTCGTCTTCTCCACTGCTAGGGTTTCAACGAAACCCTGTTTCTCACTGCGTCGCCTCAATGACGCAAAAGCCGTCGATAGTGCAGCACCACTCCCACACTAACACAACCACCATGCCACCACAACAGATCTCCGACGACTCACACAACCACCACCAATGATGTAACAACTCCATTGCCGTTGATGCAACACCACCACCTCAACAAAGCAGGATTAATCTCTGCACCACACCCACACTCATGTGGTTATTAAACCAACACCCATGACCTAAAGGCCATGATGGTGGATCTCGCGACCGAGCCAAGAACGGCGAACAGAAAATAGAAGGAAAAAAAAAGAAAAGGAAAAGAGAAATAAACAAAAAGGAAGAAGAATCAAAGAATCAAATTGTCTTTCAAATGATCAATCTTGCTTTGATAACATGTTAAGTTTAGAGAGTTAACACAATATTAGAGTAAGACGGAGGGCGGTAAAAAATATAACTTACCTCTCACAAATCACTTGTATTTGTAATTAACTCGTAACCATACAAAAGACGTGTATACCCTCTAGTGGTATACTTATTACAGCTAACTAATATTTACATAATACCCTAATACTCTTAACAGTGAGCATGTCAGAAATTCTTGACTCAGAAGATTCTGGCAAGGAATTGTTCATATGTCATAAGGGTTGTCCAATGCCTTATCTCTTCCAGGATTTAGAGTGGGGTTATAGGTGCCTTAAATGAAAATGTTTTGGTTGCTGCTTATAGGTTAACAAGATTTTCTTCAATTTCAGCTCCAACCCAGTGGCTACTAATTCCAATGCCTTCAGATACAAGTTTCAACCAAGGCTTGAGATATGCTTAAAGCTGCTAAATAAAGCAAAGAGTAATGTAAGGCTGCCACTGCATTGAACCTGAATGGTTGAGGTGCTGTTTCACTACCTTAACTAAAAAGCTAATCCTGTATTTACGGGGTGTATACTTTAATTGGTTGAAACTTGTCAACCTCCTGGTTGAAATGCCGTGAACTTCTGGAATTCAATCTACACTACCTGGTTACCTGTGGTGAACCGTAATTAGAGTGATTCACTAGTTGGGTTGGACATGATCTGCATTCGAAATTGTCCTGGAATTCTTGCATATTTTGAAGTTTACTTGTTTAAGGAGCTCAAAGTTGTTACATGCTCAAATTTTACAAGTCCAATGTAGAATTGATTTAAAAAGAGTTGCTTGATGAAGACATACAATTCAGGAATCTGCACCGTAAGCAAGAAAAGGCATTTTTTCTACATCAGTTTCAGCTGTGACTGCCTCTTCCACTTCCTGTGCATTTGTCCAATCCTGTTGCTAATTCCAAAGATGCAGCACCCTAACGCGCTCCTCTTCATAAATTCCTGCCATTGATACGATCAGGCAAGAACAAAAATTTTTTACTTGTGAAAAATAGTGGAAACTTTCAGAATTTCATAGATACTTGCGTTTAAATTATTCTTCTACGTCAGAACAACTATACAAACTCTAACTACTGCTGATTCAATGTATTATCAATTACACTTGCAGGTACTAAACAAAACGTAAAAAGAAGTGGGAGTTCAAACATTACCATTGAAGGACTCTTTCTTCGCATTTGAACTGCTTTCCTTATGTAACTTCTTCTCCGGCTCATCATTATCAGCTCTCCAAGAGTTGGTGGCCGCCTTATCACAGCACTGCAATCATTTTCGCGATCAATATTCTTACTGAGTACCTTTTGTGGGACATGGAACAAGTCCATTGCAGGGCAGCCAACTTTGTCAAGGAAACTTGAATGGGGTGATAACAATGGAAAGAGGCACTCCAAGAAAGATGTTCCAACTAGGCTTGTAGTTCCAGTTGCATAGCTCCTTGTACTACTGTCTGTTTCAGAAGCTGGTGAAGGAGGGGTTTGCAGCTGGCCACTGTTACTTTCCAACGGGAAAGTTTGCTGTACTGGATCTGGAACAGCACTTGAAATTGCTACTGTTGATACCAGGCGATTGGCTAATAGAGAGGGAGCTGAGCTAAAGGACTCATCTGTTTCAAAACCTCTTGCTTCAAGCTCCAACTCAAAAATCGATCCATCTTGGCCATCATCATCATTGTCATCCTCATCATTATGACTATAAGCCGAGCTGTGCTCACTGCCCTTAGTGGGAGTACAATTGCTGATTTTTGCCAGTGGGAGCACAATTGCTGACTCTGGTGGCGGCTGTGAGAAGCAGGGAAGTGGTTTTCCTGGCTTTTCTTCCCAGTCGAAAGGAACTGAGGCAATTAGTTTCAATGGTGGTGGGGCAACTGGGTTAATGGATAGAGCACCAGGTCTCCAGTCTTTCTTGGGTGTTCCTGGTTTTTCTTCCCAAAGAAATGGAACAGAAATCAGTTGTTTGACTTGCTTCCTGTTACAATTCTCCGAGGGTTCCTTCTCTGCCATTTGGCTTATAATCTCTGGTCGCATAGCCATGTTCCCTACTTGCACTGTGCATATTTATTCTGGGAGTAAAAGTGGATTAGACAGGTTTGCTACTTATTTTTCCTTCCCAACTGTACCATATTTCTTCCTCACAAATTAGGTTCACCTGCTCCATGATTGAATATGCAGGAGGACTTGGTGGGTTTTGCATGGGATTTTCCTAAGAGCAAGATAGAATGACTCTTTTAAAGAAATCCTTTCAAGAATTGGAGTGTGCAGCTAATCCACTTGAATGGTCGACATAAACTAAAAGTATTGCTGGGTTGCTGTGGAATATTTTTTGTTTGTTGTCTCCGTAGACTTATTCGCTGAAATTGAAGAGCACTTAGACCGGTAAGAAATATGATAATACTAGCGTCTGACCCCGTGCATTGCATGAACTATCCCTTTCTTCTCTTTTTTACCCTCTCTCACTCGTTATTTTATAAGTTAACAAACATATTTTTGGAATTATTGGATTGTAAATTTGATGTTTTAAAAAAATTTAAGTGGTAGTTGGAGGGAATTTATGGGTAGTTATTTAAGGCATTTGGTAGAATATGATTGGAGGATGAGGAATTATTAGAAAAGTGGGAAGAAAAGCTTTTCAAGCTCTCTTCTCTTAGGAACAAGGTTGAGGGAGGATGGGAAAAGACAAACTAAAATTGAATTGAACAACATCGGGCACATTTACGAACGTTCCTCAAGAGAGTACAACATTTTTGGTTTAGTTGTCTCTGCTTGTGTCGAATAAATGTTGTCAAGTATGGATTTGTGTTGTGTAGATGGATTTGTACTTGAATATTATTTAGCACAGTAAGCTTTAGTAGTAGGTTTGAGTTTGGAAGAACTCATACCTGCCCTTATGAATTTGAAATTCAAAACTGATACACAACACCACAAAATCTTAGATAACAAACGCACAAAAAAACAAAAAGAAAAAAATTAACTGTATTTTTTGTTGAAATTATGTGATGAGAGTAAAATGGGTAATAAAAATACAATAATTATCCAACTCCTATATGTTCGCGCCCACACAAGGATTGCATGTAATTTTCTTAAAAATATGGAGGATCTTTTTATATACTAATATTACATGATGTGTGTTGCACGTAAATAAATTTTTTTATAAAAAATTTGAATTATATGTATAATTAAATTAAATAATAAATTAGAATTTAAATAAGTAATATGTTTTAATTATTACTAAATTTAATTATTAATTTATTCAATAAACTTTGAGTACTTAATCTATTATTTATTTAAGTATCTCTCAAACTTTTATAAGTATTTGCATACTAATTATATTATAAAATTATTAATTTTTTATTTTTTAAATTAGATTGATTAGATCGTTCATAATATTATTATATTATTGCATACCAAAAAAATAAAATATAATATATATTTGATTATGTAATTCAATATGATAATTACATTTGTATGATAATTTAACATATATATATGATTTTATTTTTCACATAGATAAAGAAAATTATATGCAACTGTATTACTAATAAATGAGTTCAAAAAAATTTAAAAGTTCTTATAAAAGAGTTCAATATAAATTGAAAGTCAAATAGAAGTAAAAAATAAAAATTAGATGAAAATATATATTGGTGGGTTTAATTGACTTTATCATAATAATTATAGTTAAAATAGGAAATAAATTTTTTTTGCAGATGCTGACATTTATAAATAATATAGATATAGATGTAGATTAAAAATTCGATAAGACTAAAATTAGTTTAAATACCAAAAGATTGAGCCTAGCCTAATTGTTTTGTTTCGGCTGCCTTCTTGAAGGAGCTAAATTTCCTCTTTGACCAAAAAAAGTATCTTAAAAAAGACGTAAATCACAGATCTAAGAACTTAACGGCCATTTCAAATCCCAATCAAACTGCTTATCTCATATTTTAATTCTAATTCTGGTGTTTACTTCCTAACCAACCTAGACTAGAACCTACTCAATCTGTATCCAAGTTGCCTTGTTTAATGTAAAACACTAACCACAACAATTACAATCCAATACATACATACATAAACCGCAACAATTACAATCCAATACATGCATACATAAACCACAACAATTACAATCCAATACATACATACATACATATATATATATATAGAGAGAGAGAGTATTTTGACTCGCATCGATTACTCCTTTAAATTTTGATCCGATTGTCATAACTCAAGTTAATTTAAAAATATGTTTCATAAAGGTGACTGATCTTTAGATGGTGTAAAAAATATTGAATATGAGATTTCTTGCGGTTGCAATAGGGCTGGTTTGACTACTGAAGGATTAATACTTATAATATGTCTGCGTACTTACATAAAACTAGAAGCTAGAAGAAGAACCTGTTCACATGCCTGTAAATCATTGATCAGACCCATAAATTGTTTGGACAATTTTACTCAAATCATAACATTTACAGAAATTATATTGCAATTTACAGATCAGGGTTTAAAAGCAATACAAACCCTCAAAGATCTGAAGCTGGTTCACTCTCAAATATACCATCACATAACATACAGAAACAAAATTAGTACCAAAACGCAAAAAAAAAGGAAAAAAAGAAGAGGTCTCCTCAGCTAGAATTCTGCAAATTCAGGAATCCATTGAAGTTGCTGCACTCCAACAAGGCCTTAGCATTCATCTCTCTCTCAAACCTCCAAATGTAGTTCAGACCCACAAGCAGCTCGGTTATGGCCGCCTCAGTCTTCTCTTGGTTAGCAAAATATAGCGTTTGGAAGAGAAGAACATTCGTCTTAGGCCCCAAATTTTGCTGCTCGAAGCTCCTTTCGCTTTGCCATTTGATCATGTTATGTGCCAATGGTGACAACCACCCCAAGATCTTTTGCAAAGCATCTCTCCATTCTCCGGCAAGAATTGGATCACTCGCCAAACAACCGACACCTTTCAATCTACCTCTCAACGATGATCGTATACTATTTGGCAACATGGAATAAAGATCGTCTCTTGCATCAACACCCACCAACTGTGGTGATCTTATCATCTTTTCCATCACAATGATCAAGTTTGCATAGTGGAGAGCAAGAGCCACCGAGCCTAAAGTACTTGCAGGAGGTTTAAGCATCTTGGAGTTTGATTCGAATAATTTATTAGTTAAACCTTCCTTTTCTTGAGGTTTAGAGGTCTTGATCACCACTGGTCCGGATACAAAGTTACATGTATCAGGGTTTTCAGAAGGGTAGACTGTGGCTGAAGCTGAGAGACTACGAGGTAGAGAAGGTGGATATCCATGGCTAATCCCAAAAACAAGCTTGATCCTTGAAAGCGTGGTGAAAATTGATCTAACAAGCAACGAAGTGACCGTGTCAAAGCTTCGATTCCATAAAGATCTCTCTTTTAGATACTTAATTTCCTGTCGTTGCCAAAGAAGCTTCTCTTGCAGATCAATGATCTTTTGTTCTTTGATAGACTGCTCATTGTCCTTGCACTGTAATAACTTTCTCAACCCACCTTCCAGTACTGTCAGCTCGTCCATTTCTCTATGAAGTGTAGCTGTAGCAGTGACGTACCGATCCATCTTCTTGTTCTTGGCTTCCATTTCCTTCAAGCTCAAAACCCAATTATGTGGATCACGACCCAAGTCTGCGAACTCATCAAACAAGCGATCGAAGCACCGAAGAGTTGAGTCCTCGCACTTTTTGCTTATTCTAGACACAGACTTTGCAATAAGTCTGAGATTTTCCACCATCTCCGCGCATGCGAGGCCGAGAAGAAAAGCATCATCGTTTGAGACGATCTTTCGAACACCTTCAAGATGTACAGATTCGTTACGAAGGCGAACTATGTTTTTATCAGAGAGTGATTGCCATAGATGGAGAAGCTTCGACATGAGTCCCGCGAACTCAAAGGCCAAAACTCCAACATTATATTTCTTGATCACCGGTTTCGTCTGTGTCGCCGAGGCACGTACTGAATCAAAACTGTTTGATATTGTCTTCTTCACCTTGATCAGCCATGTTTCAAGAGCCATGGATGCGATACTGTAAGAAGAAAAGCTATTAATATAAGCAAGAAATTAGACCAAATCTCTGATCAGATGGGAGGGAGAATAAAAGAAGTTGATGCAGTTTTTTGGGTTGCTGAGAGAAAGTATTGAGGATGAAAAACGAAGGGATGGACAGGAGAGAGACAAACAAATAATTGAAGAGTGGAGTTGCAGAGATAAGGATAGAAGATTTTGAAGGTGCAGTGCTTGAGGCTCGTGGGATGTTGAAAGCATTACAAATAGTCTAATAAACCCACACAGGAGAGAGAGAGTGGGCGGGGGCTTAATCATCATACACACCCACATGCGTGACTTTTTTTTTTTGCATGGAGGAGTAATTTGTCTACTGTGATTTAGGCATGTAAATAAGGAAAAGGGAATATTTCAAGGACATCCCTTCTAGTTTATCATATCTTCAAGGACACCCCTTTTAATTTTTGAATTTTCAATGATACCCCTTCTAGTTTAATTTAAATATCACTAACACCCCCTACTATTAAACTATTATTTCTAACAAAATAAATTTATCTAAAATACCAAAAATGCCCCTACATAACCTCAAGTAATTTTTTTACATAAAATTTTATTAAAATTCGAGCTGTTAAAATTTTAAAAAAAATTATAAATAATAATTTTAGTAAATAATTTGTTAGTAAATACTAATTTTTTATTTACTAATTAGTAAATTTTTTTTAAAAAAAATTGAGCCTATTAAATTTTTTTTTTTACATATTAAAATTTAAGTCGATTTGAACTCTATCTGAGTTATTAGGGCCGATTAAAATTCTTTTTCGAGTCTATTATAATTTATATTTTTTTCTTATCAAAATTTGTGTCAATTAAAATTAGATTTATTAAAATTTAAGTCAATTAAAATTCATATAATTTTATATATTAAAATTTAGACTGATTAAAATTCAATGCGAATTAATTAAAATTTGATTTAAGTTGATTAAAAATAATTTTTAATTGGCTCAAACAAAATTTTAATTAGCCCAAATTCTAATACGTAAAAAAAATATAATTTTTAATTGACACAAATTTTAATATGTAAAAAAATAAATTTTAATTAGCTTTTGAATTAGCTTGAATTTAATTATGTAAAAAAAATTAGAAAACAGAGGGAGTCTCATTAAAAATATACTTATCTAGAGGGGGTCTCATTAAAGATATGTTTATCTAGAGGGGTGTAGATGAAGTTTATCCTCAAATATATTATGGGCAATTTAGTAAAATTATATTTTACTTAATATTTTTAATCTGACAAAGAGTGTCATTGAAGATTCAGAAATTAGAGGGGGTGTTCTTGAAGATATGATAAACTATAAGGGGTGTGATTGAAATTTTTCCTAAAGAAAATTTTACAAGGTAAAGGGTAAACTCGCCTGTCTAGAAATTAAATTTTGATAATTTTTTGAAATCAAGTTATAAGGAATTTATCTTTCATGAATACTTTAATTTTGACGTGAATAGTTTGTATTTGACCGGATCAAAAAGGGAATCAGTCCGATGCATTTAAACTGGCTCGAACATCCCTATCGTTAAACTAAAAAATGAAAAAAAAGAAGAAAAAGGAAGTAAGGTAGATTTGGATTTGGGTTTGGATTTGGATTCAATCCATGTTTAATATGATTAATTTCAATAAAAAGTAATGTTTTTTGTCGATAATTTTAAAATTTGATATTATATTTTATGAAATTTATCTAGATATACTAATATTTGATTCGATGATATATTTATGTGTGGTTAAATTTTACGATGAAATCGAGTTTTAATTTGTTAAAAATTAGTTTAATTGAGTTAAATAAATTGGATTATATTTATAATTCTTAATATATATAAATATATATTGTAAACATAAAACCCATAAATTTGATAAAATCGGTTCACAAGCCCTTCTTTATTCTTGGGTTTCTCTCGCCTGCAGAGAATGTGATGCAAAACCCAACGGGTAGCTCAAGAGACAAGTTGTAAATCTAGATATTTTGAGTTCGGACAAAATATGACGTTGATGAGAGATTCTTTCAAAATAGGTTGCACCTTGAATGACGCTCTAATTTTTAATTTGCACCCTTGAGATATTGGATTTCTAAATTGCACCTTTAATGTTATAAAATAGATGCAACGTAGTCCAATTTGAGGGTTAAATTTAAAATTGAGGGTGCAATTTAGTTTGAAATGAACCACATTGCACCTGTTTTATAACATTAAGGTGTAATTGAAAATTCAATTCTTTAAAGGCGTAAATTGAGAATTGAAGTATCTTTCAAGGTGCAAAATAAAATTAGCCCTTCAAAATATATATACAATATATTTTTTATTTTCTAATATTATCTCAATCCATAAAATATAATTTTGCCCTCTGTTTGGATGGATGAACATAGAGTACTTTTTCTCTGGATTCTGTTTTCTTCCACAACAAAGCGAATTAATCATTCCTACCTTTTATTTTTCCTTTTAATTTTTTGAAGGCAGTAGTACATCCTTGTTAGCTGGTTTGTTTTTGTGTGTATTACTATGGGCAAGACATGTCTGAGCCCACTGCTCTAATTTAAGTCAAATTGATTGGCAAAAAAGTTTTAGTGGGTAGGACTCTCTTCTCACTTGCTGCTCTTTTTTTGTCAACAGTCGTAAATGTTCAAATTAATTTATACATATTTTGATTAATCTCTTTTGTGACTATATTAAAACAGATCATCTACGTCGGGACTAAAATATTCATAAGAGATAAATCTTTCATGATTTGATCTTAAAGAATTGTCAAAATTTAAATTTACGACATTTGAGTTTACAATTCATTTATATTCTCACTTAAACTATTTCTTAGGATTCTATTCGAGGAGTTCTATCTTGGAAGACAGTCAATTCCTGTCTGAAAGTAGCTGCCAGCTTCACCTATACATGTGGCCAAAATGTACAATTTTTTTGGATAAAAATGAAAGGACGATATACCACAAGTTTGAGATTGAGAATCAATTTCTCGAAAAAAAAACTGTCTACTATTAAGGTTTTTCAGACTAAATTATAGGTAAAGAATTCCATGTGTGCCCAAGACTACCAAATGCAACTTTACTAAGGTCAAGATGGTAATTAATTCTCTTTTGGCACTTTTTCTCACATTTTAAGAGAACCGTTGACTACTTACTTTTCAGAGAACTAAGGCTTCAGGCCTGTGTTAAAGTTTAAAAAACGTTGTGGATTCTCTCGTCTATATTACAAGTTCTGTCAACTTTGATTAACTTCAGTAACACATTTCTGTTGCTAGGGGAAACCCCACTTACTCATTCACTTCACAAGGTTAGCCATAGGTGTTGGGTTGGTGGTGGGTTTGGGATCATCAACCCAAGAGTTTTGAGGGGACTGCCATTTTTGACAATTTTAAAATCGGAGTCGGAGACTAACTTGGGTTAACTTGCATAGATAGTCTAGTGGTGTTGGGCCCTCTAGAGTCTGGATTTTAAGATTTGAAGAAAGAATCACCTCTGTGTGAAGAAAAAGAAATATTGAAAATAATTAATCAATTTTTACTCTCTAGTGTTTTCCTCAGTAGACTAGATTCTCGTTTCTTTTGTCGGTTAATGTATGGACAAAGAATGGACACCCTCAAAAACCCCTCTATCCCCAAGACTTGATGCTGGGAGAGGGAAAGAGAACGCGGGCACGAGGATATGATCGAAATCTCTAACTATTAACATCTTTGTGCATACTATGGTATATCACTATTACAATAAAAAATTTATTACTACAACTGCTTGGCCGGATTGTCGGAGAATCAACATTTGCGAGCTAAATTAGACATGGTTCTTTGGCTGAAAACACTTATTAAGGCCTGTTTGGTATGTTTTTTGAGAAGGGTTTAAATTAACTTGTCCAAATCCGTATTTGACCAAAAATAGGATTTAAAGAAGGTATTCAATATTCAATATTGTCCATACCCATGTTTGATATGCGCAAGAATATATGATTATTATGATAATATATTTGAATTTAAATAACTATTATACCCCTTAACTAATTTAATCCAAAAATTGGTATAGATATATGAGGAGTATAAATTTCATTTGAATGTAAAACTCCTAAACCCACATATGAAACCCCTCATGGGTTTCATAAAACTCATGAACAAGGGTTTCATAACCGGGCCAAATATCAAATCTTAGGCCAAATTTATAGTTATCAAATATGGGTTTAAAGGGGTTTAATCCCCAACCCATGCCAAACAGTTGGGGCATAAAAAATGAACAGAAAAAACATAAAAATTTCTAACAAGGCATTTTAACCGAGACAATGTAAAATTTCCTCCGAATTTTCATAGGAAATGTTTGTTCATGGCCACACAAAAGTACTGGTCCTTTCTTTAGCCTAATTGTGTGAAGTTGTGATGGCATGTGGACCAAGCGAGTTTCACGAGTAAGCTTCTAAGATCCCACGCCATCACCAACCACTACTACTAGTCTACTACTCAAGTGGTCAACAAAATTATGGAGTGTTTTTGAATGGTCAAAACATGAAATGAAAACTCTTATAATGGTGTGATGCAAACATCCATATTTGTAGAGGGTGTGTCATGAAATCACTACAACATAATATACCAAATCCATTTTCATCATCCTCAAACTAAAATTCAAATAACCATGATGAACTAACACGATCGAGAGAAGTGATACCATCAAGACCTAAAAAGCGGATAAATTGATCAGAGTTAGGAATGTCAATTGAGTAACTTTCACACATGTTTTGTTTTATTCAAATTCGACTAAATGATAGTCATATATTTGTTCAATTTATATATACACCGTGTTTAATTGGATTTTTTATTTAGCTGAATTCCTATTGAGAAGTCTACCTATTTATGTTCAAAGTCATTAAGATTAAATCTACATCCATTAATTTGATATTAATTTTGTGTCAGCTTGGGCTTAGTCAAAAGCGCATTATGAATCTCAAGTACCTTACAATTAGCCAAATAAGAAAAAGAAAAGTAATATCACGCGTATTATTGAATGTTTTTATTTTCACTTGTTTATTTAAAATTAAATAATTATATCACATAATAATATTAACCTAATATAATCGTTACCCAGTTTTTAATCGAGAAAGGAGGGAAGGGGTTGTTAAAGTCGAGCAATTTACGTCAAAAGGTAGGGGAGGAGAAAGTGATATAGTGTAGAGTAGCACGATTGGCTAGCCATTCATAGGGTCAACAGAGAGAGAGAGATCCAGTACAGTCCTTTAGTGGTGGAGTAATGCATGTATCAACTTTTTTTATTGAGATATCCTGAAGAAAAGTCCACTACTGCTATCAAAAAAGTAGAGATACCACTAGGAATATTTAAGGGAAGAGCTAGAGGTTACACTGGCAAGAGAAACAAGTAAAATAATGAGCATATGCAGCGCACGAAATTTATGTTATTGTAGAGTTTAAGAAAAGTTAAATAAACGGAATCTTATTCATATAAATAGAGAGACTGTTTTCACAATTCGAACCTATAATCTCCAAATCGATAGAACAATTTTATCATTGCTACAAAGCTCACCCTATGTAAAGAAACAAGTAAAATAAAAATCATATATCTCCGTCATTTTCAAGTAGTGACATATGCAGAAATTCAGTATGGAACCTACCTTTATTTATTTATTTATTTTTTTAAAAATGCGTATCTGAGCCGACAAAATTCGAGCTACTGATACTATAATAAAAGGGATTTTTCAAAAATTAGGAGAACAGTAGTCTCTGTCAACTCTCACCTAGAATAATCATTTGGTGCAAAGGTCTTGTATATTTGCACAACATTGGCTATAGAAGACATGATTACAATTGGCACATTCGGAATTATGGACAATCGACGGTAACACCCTTTTTCTAAAGCCAACCAAACCCATAGATTTTCATCTGTGCTTTGAAAATGACTCCGAAGAAGATAGATTCATTTGCACCTGCATGTGGATTGTATCAACCAAGGACACTGATCATTTTTCTTTCTTTAAGGTCTAATAGAGAGAAAAAACCAAAGTGGAAAAGGATGAGGGAAAAGATTGGAGATGACTTTGATTTCGTGTTGACTAGACATTGCACCCGCCAACATGAAAGAAAACTCTTCCCAGTAACTCAAAGTACTATCTCTTTCGTGCAACTGAGATTTTTTTCAGTTGGAGATAGATCACTTATCATGCACATCTGGGGTGGACAAGCTAGCCAGAGTTAACTCATGGAACCATGCCAACAATGTCTTAGGACCTTTTTTTGGTCTTTTCTTGTTATAGGGTGTCTAAATTTGCATTTACTATTTTTTAGAAGACAACAATTGTCATCATAACTTGAACTGAGTTAGGAGGAGAATGAACTTGGAATTTCTGAGTTATCAAAAGTCAAACTCAATTACTGAACTTTCCGTAAAAATTTCTTAGTGTGTATTTGACTTATAAATCCCTTTGCAAAAAATGAGAGGCCATCTTTTCATATCAAAGTCCCACCCAACTCTCTCTCTCTCTCTCTCCATGTTTTTATAACAAAAATGATACATCAATTTATCATTAAAAACACTGCATTTGTATCATAACTTAGGGAAAACATCTCGAAGTTGATAGAAATCCAAAAAAATGACAGATTATAGAAGCCCAAAAAAAACAGAAACATGAAAAATCAACTCTCTTATGTCCCGATTGGAAGAATCTTTGGATAATCAGTAGACAGTAATCCCTCTAGTAAGAAATATTTGTGGTTCGATCCTGCGTCAATTGGGAGAGGGGAGAGAATGTCCCTCCCTGGCCACTGAAAGTGAGCCCTAGGATTCTTCTATAGTGACCTAAGTGTGCATTCCTGTGATGCAACTACCAATGGTGGTTTTGAAATTATGAGGCCAAAGACCGGGTTTTCTTTTTTCCACGGGATATGGTGTTCAGGTCAATTTAAGAGTACCTCGATTAATTTTTTTCTTGATCCGATCAAATGTAGCCCATTCGCATTGGGACTGAGACTAAGAAATTTATGAAAAATTTATACCTCGTGATCTGACCATAAAAGATTGTCAAAATTTAAACTCAAGACATTTACCACTTAAATTATACATAGAATTCAAAGAAAAGCTTTTAAACATCGAAAAATATATAGATTTTGAAAAGGGGGAAATGCGCGTGAGAGCATACAATGTATGGTATGGGCCTGTCGTTCAAGTAAATGGAAGGAGTCGTGTTTCACTTTTGCTAGACATTCCTTAAAGGGATGGTCCCAATTTAAAAAACACTTGGAAACATTGCTATACATTACGCACTAACCCACCCACTGAGACTCACTGATTAACCTGTGCTCACGTGCAATCATCATTATAAGTACATAGTGGGACTACATTATTCTTCCACACGCACGTGCATCTAACCGGTCACAAGCGAGGTGTATACATATTATTTAAAGAAAAAAAATTATTATAAAAAAAAAGAGGATGATATTTAAACTCGAAATTTTGATGTTAACGGTGGAGAGTATGGGGTGTGGACACATTGGTATATTCAAATTCCTTCGTTAAATGGGCCAGAGCCCCTTTTGACTCAGAACCCAAACGGGTCATAACCAACAATTATTTTTGAGGATTTTTGTTATTAACATTAAACGTTTCTTATTTACCATTGAGGTGGTAGCCTCGTTGGCTTCAATAAAGGGTGAAAATTTCATTGTACTCCACTGGTCATAGGTTCGAACTCATTTGCAGTAGTAATTCTTGTGAACCCAATACTGCTAGAGGGGTTGAATGTTCAATTTGCCTTCGATGGTGTTGTGGTGACAGACTCGACCATCTCATATTGAAGCCAATAATTATGACTCAAACCAAACACTATAACAGGTGAGAACTTTAAGGTAGTGTTCTAGGGGCTGCAATACCTGGTCGTACCTGACCGCTCTTTTCCAAAGCCAAAAAAAAAAAAAAAATCCTTTCTTATTGCCTATTACTAATGAAAGGTTAGCTGAGCTTCGTTCAGTTTTTGAAGGAATAACAATGTTATATTGACTTAATTTAAATTTTTAATTTTTTTTAACGTTTAAATTAATTATGAGTTTTAATGTGAAATAAAATGGAAGCCCATTATGTTTGTGTTGTCTATAAAATTTACTAAATCTGGAACATCGTATATAAATTCAAAATTTTGTTCAACCCAAACCACTTATGTGATGACGCCTAGGCTAATTGGGAATAAGGGTCAAGTGGTCAACAATAGGCTGAGTAGGGCCAACCCCCCGGCCAAAATTTTCTGGCCAAAGCCCGCCATGGTTCGGACTGACTTAACTTTGACTAATGGTTGGGCCGAGCTTAGGTTAACCTAAAAAAAAAGCCCAAAACCATGGACTACCCAGCTGGCCAACACCAATAGGCTCTTGAGGGGCCAACCAGCAGGGCCTTACTTATAAGGGCCCCTTTTTCAGAACAAATACAAATGTTATAATTATTTTTTTGTAAAAATTACGGTTGAACCCTCCTTAAGGAACTTATAATAAATTTAGTTCGTCAATGAAATTTATTTGGGGTAAATCCATTTTTAATTTTACTAATAAGTAGTTAAGTCTACTATTTTTTTAAAACTCTAAAATGCCCTTCTGATGACTTCAAAAATAATCTTCAACATTAAATCAATTTTCTAAACACTCGTCATTGATTCACAAAATTTGAAATTCAAATTTAAATTTAACATCACTACCATCTCTCTCTCATTTTTTTTTGTTGCGAAGACTATGGCTAATTTAATATTAAATGTTACTATGCATGATATTATTATTTTTTTCATGTTACTATTTTTTGTTGAATATGTTATTATTTTTTGATGAGTATATTACTATTAATATTGAATGTTATTATTTTTTTGAAATATCAATATTGAAAATTCTTTTTCTTTGTTGATCATGCTACTACTATTATTTTTTTTCAAACATTAATAGTCAATGTTACTTTTTTTTTTTTTTGAATGTTACAATTTTTTTGCGTTTAAGCGATATTAATTTTTATATTTGAATGTTATTATTTTTTACTTTTATGTTACTATATATATTTTATGAGGGAGAGAGAAATAAATAGTCGTATTTTATATATGAATACAAATAGATATGAGAGAGAAAATATTTCTATGTTAATCAAACTCCTAAAATATTTCGATTGTTAGTTTTCAAAATAGACTTAATATTAAACAAATTTTCTTGACAAACTTATCACCAAATAAGTCTACAAAAAAAACCCATCTCCAAATTTTCCTATTTTTTTTTTTTTTAAAAACTGGCCTTATCAGCAGTCACCCCATTGGGCCATCCGCCGAGACAGGCTTTTTGCCGATCCTAAGTTGGATATTTGGACCCCTTGAATACACGTAGCCCAGAATATCAAAAGCCACCAACCAGCAAATACCACCAGAAATACACGAAATTACCCGAGTCTTACAAGGAGTAGCAAAATTCAGTGTTCTCCAGAGAAGCAATCGGTATAAAAACAAAACAGGAGTGTGTATATAACAATTTCCTAAGCTGCCAAAATGCTTGATTATGAAGAATCTCATCTTTGTGTAGCTGATCCGAGAAGATTTCACAGCACCATGTAAGCCGTCACTCTTTGAGACGTTTTGAAGCAGCTACTTAGAGTTCAAAACGATATCCTTGTTCATCTGCATGGCAATACAACAATGTGAGTGGTCACATTGAGGAAGCTACTAATTTGACAACCCAAGCTCAAAACTTACAGATTTTGCCAGCCCTTTGGCTTTATCATCATCAAAACCAAGCTCAGCCATTATCTTGTGGCCAGCTGATTCTTTTTCGGACCAAATTCCAAGAAGCAAATGAGCTGTCGTTATTTCCCCATCTTCTTCACCTGCGATAATCAAAATAAACAAGATTTACAATAGCGAAAATGATGGCAAAATTAAGAGAGATGACAGTAGCCCAAAATTTGGATATGGTCAAGGCTCACCCTTACCAATCAGATGACAATAGGTTAAAAATTACATCAAGAGACAAACATCCTTGGATGTTTTTTAAAGTTTTCTCCCCTTTTTCCTCCAAATTACACTTCACAATGTGCACATGGTCTTACTCCATTGGCACAAATGAGCTATTTGCAAAAGCTGGCAAAAATAAACAATTTACACAAAAGGAGAAATCTTATTTGAAGTATTGGTTTTTAATGGACACAAGTTATATGCAAGGTGATGGAGATCCTAATCGATTTCATGTGACCACATGCATCCCTAACCATTTATAAAGCACACTAAAGCCTAAAAAATTATGCTTGCATTCTCACATACTTAACAAGAGAGCGTTGGAGGTACATCTTTATCCTAAATTACACTTGGCCTTCCTAAGTTCAATATTCAAATAATTCCCCAAAATCAGGCCTATATCAGGAAGGTGTATCAATCAATAATCCTGATGTACAGAGTACACTATCATATGAGACGTGTAATAAATGTCTGAAGCAATTATGAGTCAAAGCTAAACAAAAGACTCGGTTCTTTATCCTTCCTCGGTTATTAGGAGCATTCATCAATGAAAACATGGTGCAGTGGCAGTACACTTCACCAAGGGCCTGATTCTTGGTTGTTTTTGCACCATTTGCAAGTCAAAGGAAAGAAATGCAAGAACTTTTGATGATAGGAACGGGCTATGATCAGAGTCTCAGATAGGTGCCAACAAAGTTGATGGGGGAAAGTTTTCTATAAATGTAATAATGCAGGAAGCTTAGTCGTGAAAGAACCCTATGGCCAGTGGGGACAAGATATGCAGAAAAAAAAATTGATTTACTCAGAAATTCTACTCCTTTCTTTTATGATCATTTCCATTAGCGAAATTCAGGTTCAGGTTAGAACGCATACATCTGTTACAAAAATGCTATGATCCTTGACAGGTTTTCCACCTTTAGAGGGCCATATCTGATGGGGTGCAGGATCTGAGAATACTTGGAATCTGAAATGTCTCTCCGGGTAAAGATAAAATTATTGTGGGGAAATTGAGAAGCTAAAATCCTAGGTAGATGTCTCCTGGGGTTAAATTATGCATCTGTTAAATGTTTCCTAAACTCTGTTTCGTAATTTGCACTTGTTCAAGCAGAATTTGGTTCAGCCAATACCCAAGCTGATCCATACAAAATAATAGTGCAGAACTATAATACTTTTGTTGGCTGATCGCAAACACATCAAAGACTACCTGATTTCAGTTTCTCTTCAACAGCCCAATCAAGTGCCCTCTGAGCTGGTTCAGTCAATGGAGGATGCTCGGGACTGAAAAAGTACATGTCAGATTTTCCAAGTAACTTCACAGTTTCTTCTCGCACCTTGAAAAGTGTAACACCGCTTTTCCTCAAAGCCTTTGCAGCTAAACTGGTTCCTGCAGAGAAGCAGAAAATACAGCACAAATACTATAAGTAGGTGAACAATACCTTAATCTACTTTCGCTAATGTAAAAACTATAATCAACATATGCTAGCCATGAAAAGTTAAATGCTTCTTCAAAAATATTCCTCATTAGTCTTCAAATTTCATGGACAGCCTTCATAAAAGTTTCAACATTGATGTTTTCCCAATACAAATGAGATACAGTGAACAATGCTGGGTCAATAAATTATGGCAAGCAACTGAAATCAAGACTGAACCGTGAAACCCATTCACAGATTCCTATGCACAATTAAACCATTAAATCCACAATAGGTCTAGAACTAGATCGAATATATAGGAGCTACGACATGGAAAATGAAACGGGTTAAACTCTCTAGAAACGGTAATATTGGTTGCTTAACTTCTCACCTGGTGCTCTAATATTGCCTCATGCTAATGTGCATTGCAAGTGCACTCGTCTAGAAACTACTAATACATGAATATAGAGATGGACAATATTGCTAACCCTCGACCAAGATCCCCATCACAAGAGCCTCGGTCCCAGTATTCGGGTACTTTAGCTTCCTTGCTTCCAATTCCGCCATTGCAAAGGATTTTATTGCCCTTGCGGACCATCTGCAGTTGCCAACTATCCAAAGTCAACTACCACTCACAAACTAGTCCTTATTCAATCAACATCAAATAGTTCAAGCAGAATAGAGAATAATGAATTTACTTTGGGGCTTTTCCAGAAGCAGCCCTTTCTGGTTTTCTGCATAATTAAATTAACAATCTCAGCAACCCCAATTCCCACTAAACTAAAGTGCATATAATACGAACACACACACAACAGAATCACAAATACATGTTGAACTTACGTAGTTGGGAGACTAAACAAGACCGTTGCTACAGTAGAGCGCCGTTGCTTCAACGTATGATACCTCAAATTCGACGACCGATCTGAGACCTTGTTTCCAATAAAACAACTCACCAAACTATCCGATTTAAGAATGAGAGGAATAGATAGTGAACGCCTACTGGAATTATTACAAGATTGTGAAGCTGAAGGAAGAACATGAAGTACTGAGAGCGCATGAGAGGCCATTACTTTCGCGTAAACCCTAGTTGATTCAAGTTGAATTGCAAGTAAATTCCTTGGTTCGTTGAATCCACCTTTCACAAATCAAGTGTGTACAATGGCAGTCTCTTATCCATGGTCTCTCTCTCTCTCCCTCTCTCTCTCTAGTATATACCAGTGCTGAAAGAGAGTCGAACCGTAGAAAGGAACTGATGTTGGCGAAAGGGAGAGAATGGTAATTTCAACCCATGGTTTGGAGGCCTTTAACTTTTGGGCTCAAAGTGATGGACGGTGAAGAGAAATGGACTGAAAATTTGGGCTCCGACCAAACTATGTGCTGTCCAAATCACTATCGAGTGTCGTGGCTGCGTAATGGGTCCCACGGGCTTCAGTTGAACCAGACCCCAGACTTAACGCACTTAATGGTGCAAGATGTAGACAGGTGGCCGATTGCCTAGACCTAACATGACAACGTTATTTTCTTACTCTTTTTTTTTAATTAAGTTCAGAGAATGTTCCGACCGACTTCAATTTTTACATCAAGCCACTTCACTCACCTCTTTCACCATTCTGTTTTTCATTAAACAAATTAAAGATGATAAAATATACCATGATTTATTCATATGACATGAACTGGAATGGATCTATAGTGGGGGCAGTTGCCTCTAGTGCAATTTAAAATATTTTAGGATCTAGGTAAAATTTTTAAATTTTTTAAAATTTTACACCCACTAAAATTTTCATAAAGTATAAGATTAGTAAGTGTAATTTTTAAACATCAAAACATAATTTTGGCAGTCTTATTTTTCATGCATTTATCTTCCATTCTTCGTTGAACTTTGACTCTCAGTTCTTTTTTTTTTTTTTAAGCAGTTGCTCTTCTTTTTTACCTTTGATATATTCATCAACAAATTGACCTACTTGATTGTTGACTTAGGTTCTCATCCCTTTCTTCATATCACAAACAGCATTGGTCACAAAAGTATTCTTTAGTTAGGTACCCACCTTCTCAATCTTCCTAAAATAATTCTACTGGTTACAAATCTATTTTATTACTGATTATGTGAGCGATTATTCTAGTTCAAAGTTATATAAATAAATCTATGAAGAAACTCTAGAAGATAATGTCGAAGCAATAGAGAGATAACCCATCAACTATAAAAAAATATTCCCTCTGGTTACAAATCTGCCACTGATGAGAGACTTAGAAGTTTATGTGGGAGCTGTCTAAAGGTATACCAATAACTCATTAAAAGTTTCTAAAGACTTTTAGAGATTTTTCATGTGTTGAAACTTTTTGAGAGAGATATTCTAGTCCATAACAAAATATAATGATTTTTCTATCAAACCATTGTTGTTTGTTAAGTATTTGTTAAAATGCTGCAAACAAAACCATTATAGAACAAGCAAAGTATATTAGTAACAAAGATTGTGCATTGATGATGCATAAACGGTCTTATGTAAAATCAACAGTCGAATGTGTGATAAAGTGTAATTAATAGACAATTAATAAAGAAATCAATGGCAGTAACGTAAATATTGAGTCAACGCATAGATATATAGTGGTTCGGTCTAAGTGACATATTCTATTTTGAAAAACGGCAACGGTGGCAGAGGGTCTTTATTGATGAAGTAAGGTAAACGAGAGAGAGAGCAATTGTTAGTTCCGGGAGGGATATAATAGCTAGGAGATAGAAAATGTGCAGAGAGATGTAGAAGTGTAGAGTGGTGTAGTGAGATGCCCCTCCCATGTGGAGAAAACTTACAATTTATAGGCATGAAACCCTTAGGTAAGACGATGACGTGAGGGTGAATGTATTAATTCTTCGGGGAGGATAGTTACAACAGGTAAGTACAATTAAAAATGTCTAAATTTCTAAGAGTGGGTATCTCGATGATTTCTCTCCCACGTGTTCTAATATTCTTGAATTTCTTGAATCTTGAACTATGTTGGATTGATACATCGGGCTTATCTGCTTTCCTAGTGGATCTGGACTTTCTTGATTTATTGGGTCTGACCCAATTAGATCTGAGCTCGTCATGTGTGAGCTCTAAGAAAAATATGGACGGCCTTAGATCAAAAGGATTGTAATTTTTAAATATTTTATTAGAACTATTGCAAATTAAAAAGAAATGGTTGGTCAATGAATATTGACATTGATTACCTAGTACCCATACAACTATATTATTCCTATCATTGCTATTTTTTTTTTTTTTTTGTAATACCAGTGCTACTTTTTAATCTAGTTTCATGATACATTTTTAACTCGAGTTTGTGTAGTATAATCACTATAGCGTTGCAATTCACGACAACGAAAAATTCTTTGAGTGCGAGGAGGACAATATGAAGTTTGATGTTAAAAAATTGATTTGATGAGATGATGTCATAATTATTTTATTTGTAATAAATTTTGTGAGGTTGAATTGAAGGCCTATCCCCTTCATGAGTTTTGATTATTGTCATTCGGAATTAGTCATCTTTTAAACTTGACTTACTAATTGCTCTTTTTTCAATCATATAATTATTCGATTTCATTGGTTAGTTGAAATTTTAATTTGGGTTACATTTTGAATTAAACAATTGAAAAGTTACCTATTATGAGTTACACTTCGAATTAAAATGTTTCACTGATTGGTTTAAATAATTTGCTAGTGATTAATTAAATTGTTTCTCAATCTTAATTCGGTTTTAAATTATTTTTGTTAAATTTGTTTGGGTTTTTTTTGGTTATTTAAACTCTATATAAGTTGTTTGTTAAAAAGTTAAGCATAAAAGAAGTTGAATGGGCTATGAATATCCCCTTTTTATTTTAGTTTTATAAAAAGCGAACCTGCTGTCGTAGCAATTTTAATTTTGATTTTATCTTTTTTTTTGCATTTCTGGATAAAATTTGTTAAGGGCCAAAAACTATAAACTTAAAGATAATTGGCTGCTCAATTCTCATTCTATAATTTTTGCACTTTTTGGAGGTTTTAGTGCAAAAGATTAAGGCCTTATTTAGTTTGTATCTTAAAAAAATTGTATTCGATAATTATTTTTAAAAATTTTTTTAGAAATTTTTTTTAATATTTTTTGTGTCTCAAAATTTGTTTGATTATATGATTCTAAACACGGTTCTGTTGAATAAAAAATATTAAAACTTGTTTAAACAATAATCTAGAAAATAATAAAAACAAAAATATAGTCACGATAGATGTAGTAGTGGAAGTATGGTGATTGTGTTTTTTAAATATTAGAAAAATTATTTTTAAAAACATATAAAATAGTTATAACTTGTTCTTTAAATTTATTTAATTTTTATTCTCAAATTTTTTTTAAAAAATAAAATAAAATAATTTTTTTTCTCGAAATTATTTTAAAAAATAAAAAATAAATTAATGAGATACAAACCAATCATGACATAGATATTTAGGAGTTATCAGCAACTGTCCTTAAGTAAAGGGTTTTTAAAAAAAAATTTATTTTGTAATTACTACTTCTATTCCTAAATTATATTTTGCTAAGACATATTTAAAGGTTAGTCCGTTTCCTTCTCTCCGCAGCATCCTCTCATCCTCTACACAGTACACACAGAAATTGGGTGCTAAAAACCTTCACAAATCATAGCAGAGTGCTACAAGCAAATCTGGTTATCTGTTTCTTCTTCTCAGTTTTCACTCCAAGCCACCGGCCGGCCCAGAGTCGCCGTCGACCAGCCATCAGGTAAGGTTTCTCGGTCTCTACTCTCTCATTTTCTTCGATCTGCAACACACACTCCCATTCGGAGATATGCACACAAACAACACACACGGAGTGTCTCACACGCGCTCACATTTAGTTCACACAGATACACACACGCATTCACACACACCCTTGTAGTTGGTGTGAGCATCTTTTTCACCGAAATGATTTTTCATGCAGAATGTATTATTAGTTTCTAGTTTGTTTTTCTCCCAGGTGCATTTGGTTGAATATCGTTGTTTGTTGAAATTAATCCATTGAAGTTGTTTTTATTTATGCATATGTGTTATATTTTCTGAAATTGAGTCAGGGGGTATGATCTGTGCAATTTAGAATGTTTATACAGTAAACTTGTTGGAGGTCGAATTAGCAAAGTGCTCTCAATACTATTTTTTTTTTGTTTCTCTTTCCGTTTGCGCGAATTAGCTCAGTGTTTTATCGCACAGCGGGAATTGATCAGAATTTCAGTCCGAAAGGTGTAACGGACTTCAATCTGAGCTCCAAAATTCAAGCATTGGCAGTACTTAGGTCTAAGCTTGGGTGATTTGAGCTCGGGTTGAGGGTTTGATTGATAACATGGTTCAAAGAATTGGTCTATCCAGGATGATTTAGCTAAGGCTTGTTTAATTCAATATTTTCTGTGCTATGTAAACCATGAGTTGGATGGATGTGCGTTTTTATTTTTGTATTCTTTGCTCATTAATTGAGTATTTATCTGTTTGTTTTTTTCTTAAAAATTGTTTCGTGCTCTTCAGGGAATGTGGTGGATTTGATATTTAGGAAGGAGATTTTCAGATTAATGTGTAATATTTGCTGATTTAAGTTGAACTAATTGCACTATCTATAGACGTCAATATTTTTTAACAGACGTTATTGTGAATCGATCTTCTTGTCCTTGATATTTCTTCAACTTTGAACATTGTTTTCTTTTTTCCAAAGCTGATTTGAACAATCCCTTAATCAGTAGCTGGATTCTAAATTGCTGAAGCAGTGAGATCTTGTGGTAGTTACTAGTTCGGTGCATTCAAAAGCCCAATGTTTTGTCTCTGGATGTAGTTCCCTGCGATGAATGCTTTTGTGTTCTTGCTTGATTAGCGGAGGACTACCGCTGGAAGGCGTTGTCACCGTGACTTGGTGCCTAGTTAGAAGCTGCAGCATTTGGAAAGGCCATGACTTCTGCTTCACACAAAGAATCAACAATGGCCTACCCAAGAACTCTTATATCTATTATAGCTTCAGTGGGAGGACTTGCCGTGTTCTTAATCATTGCCTCATCTTTTCTGGTCTCTCAACCAATTGGGTCCGCAGTTCGTGGATATTTCTATGGTGTCAATCATTCAAAACAAGTTGATTTAGAGTCTTGGGTCAATCAATCTGTTATTGATTCTTGGACTAGTGGCTTCGATTCCCAGCATGATGTTAGTGTCTCGGGTGATTCGGGAAAATCAGGTTCACATACGTCAAAGTCAAGTGATTCTGGAGTTAATACTCGACATAATGGCAGTGGAGATGTTACTAATAAGGACCGGCATTCCAAGTCTCGGGATAAAAATGACTTATCCAATTCACAACACGGAGAAAAAGGTCCTCCAATTGTATCTAAAACCAAGGATGTGGTGCATCAACCAGCACCATTGTCTGCAATGTCTTCTAATTCAACAAACGAAGGGAAGGCCACAAAAAGTCATATATCATCCAATGTTGCAGATACCATTGAAAATGTTAAACCTTCTTTGCCAGATATACTGGGCAGTGTTAGTGTTCAGACAGATTTGAATGATACAATTCCTACCTCTCAAACCTATGTGGCGTCTGTGCCATCCTTATCTCCTGCTGCCAGCAATGTAAGTAAGTTTGGTTCAGGTACCACCTTCACTCTTCTATTTCCTTTCTCATGATTTTACTGGCATTGTTTCTTAGTGATATGCATACCTTTCTTACCTCAACTTTTCATTCTTTAATGTTATATCCTTTTCTCTTCTAATACAATTATTATATTCCCTATTGAAATAAATTTGTAGTCTCATCTATCTATGGTTACTTGCTAATTCTATTCAATAACTTAAATCCAGCTTCTCGTCATTGATTGTCCAGTTGTCTCTAATTGATTTTCACCACCATCATCGTTAATATTCTGCTGGGAAAAGTAGTAGGCACTTACTTTACGATTTAGTTTGCCACTTACCATTCTGTAAATAGATTTTTTAGAGCTTATGCTCTCCATTTTTCCCTTTTTTGACAAATTTAGATGCTATATCTTTTTTTTTTCACCACTAAGCTCGTAGTATCTTTTCTTGTAATTAGTGAAAAACACTAAGAGTAATTGGCAGACTTATTTACCCTTTGGTGGTTCATATTTCTGAGGCTGTGAGAAACAAGAAACTGAATGGGATATTTTCTTTTTAAATTCTATACTAAAGACTTTGTTGTGAGCAAAAACGTTTCTTTTGTGCAAGGATGTCTCTTTTTAATATTTTCTGCTGAATATGTCAACTTGCCTTTCTGTTAATTATTTTGTAGGCTGCGATCTGTATGATGGAAAATGGGTACATGATTCAACTGGACCATTGTACAGAAACGACTCGTGCCCTGTCCTGACACAGATGCAGAATTGCCAGGGAAATGGAAGGCCTGACAAGGATTATGAGAATTGGCGATGGAAACCTTCTCTGTGTGACCTACCTCGTTTTGATGCAAATAAATTCTTGGAGTTGATGAGGGGAAAAACATTAGCTTTCATTGGTGATTCAGTTGCTCGGAACCAGATGGAATCGATGTTGTGTATCCTTTGGCAGGCAAGTACCTTAGCTCTCTATAATAAAAGGATATGTTAATGGATAAGCAAACCGAAACTGTGGTTGAGCAGTTTGCTCTAAAGGGGAATAACACAACCTCCTTGTGATTAGATCCCGAAGAATGATTGTAAATCAACTTAGATGACAGAATATTAATTCCACTTTGCTGAGGCGACGGGATTCAAGTTGGTTGTTTGAACAATTTGTCTCAAAACTAAATAGGAGAAGATTTTTATCTCTCTTTTCATTGAATTTTTTTGTTGTACTCCACCTTTTTGCATGTTATCTTTTTTTTTTTTTTTCAGTTTCTTATACTTCCTTGTCTCTATCATCAAGAGCACAGTTTCTTCTCTCTATCAAAAGCACTGAATTGCAGTTGTATACGGACGAGGGTAATCTTTCTTTTCCCCCCTTAGGTCAACCTCCCTCCATTCTTTCTGGTTCATGTCTTGGGTAGTATGGACTTTTGAACTCACCTGAAATGCAATCTGAGTGATTGAGTTGACATTGGGCTAGGAGGCAGTTTTTGATGGAGATGAACCATTCCCTTTCTCAAATTAACAAGAGTGGGCTACAATTGAAGAAAACCACATAGTGGATGGGCAAAGGCAAAACAAACATAAGATCTTTTGAGTGTAAATACACCAAGACATTGTAACATTAATACAGGGAAAATTAAAATGTATTGCAAAAATAACAGAAACTGGAAGATATAATACTTAGTCATGGCGCACTTGTCTGGATGGACAACATCTAGCTTGATCAAAACACAGGCGAGGGCTGAAGCCTTTGAGTTGCCATTTTGTCCAAACTCTTAGAGGCCGAGTTCATATCTTCTCTTGCTCAGGCTTATTGGGAGTTTTGTACCCGTTTGGCTTGGTCCTGTCATTTATGCTTGGTCCTGTCATTTATATTTGGCCCTGTTTTAAGTTGTATATCTTTCCTTTCAGTGCATGCATAACTCCAATTCTGTCTGCAAATGTCTCATCGAACCATAAGATTAATATATAGTACCTGTCAAGTGTTCAAGATTTAATTTTCAGTTTAAATCATCTTCACAAAATTTTTTGCCTTCCGTCTTTTTTCTTTGGGTCATCTAGAAGTTTTACAATTTCAGAGGACGAACATTAACTTAGGTCAAACTCGAACAGAGTCTCCTGCAGCGGAAATGTTCCCCAACCACTAGGATACAAATATTATAGTTTGCAGGACAGAGCACCTCAACTTAGTTGAAACTCGAATCTGAACCTTCCACTGGGTAAGTGATCCCTGAACACTGGACAATCCTCTGGTATATCTCTTTCAAATATGAAGAATCTAAACAGGGCTTTTTGTCGGTCATGAGCAAGGCTTTTGTCGGTCATAAGCATGATGTTGCATGCTGAATTAGCCTTGCCCTTGAATTATTCTTATCCAAATTATATTACCACACCCTAGTTTTATGGCACGCACACATCTGTGCGCATATAGTTTTGGCCTACTTGTCCAATCTAGATTGCCTTACAAGTTCCAAATGCTAAAAGATCATGTTTTAATCAATAGAAGTCCAAAAGATGGTTATTCTAGGACCGGCCAGACAAACCAATGTTGTATGCTTTGCTAAGCTTCACACGAACTAGCTAATTTGTGTCATTTTTTATATGAAGTGGTCATGTTGTCCTTAGAATTTTGGCATTCCCTTCTATTTTTTCTAATCCCATTCTATGATTCTGGAATTTTTCAGGTTGAAGAGCCAAAAAACCGTGGGAATCGAAGAATGCAACGATATTATTTTAAGTCGACGAATACAATGATCATTCGGATATGGTCCTCATGGCTTGTCCACCAAACAGATGAGTCTTTTGATTTTTCTCCAGCGGGTGTAGTGAAGCTCCACCTTGATGCTCCTGATGAGGGTTTTATGGATTTTATACCAACCTTTGATGTGGTTGTGCTTTCCTCAGGTCACTGGTTTGCCAAGCAATCTGTCTATATATTGAACAATGAGATTGTGGGAGGACAATTGTGGTGGCCAGACAAGTCTCGGCAAAAGAAAATTGACAATGTGGAAGCTTTTGGAATATCTGTTGAAACAATTCTCACTGCCATGGTTACACATCCAAATTACACTGGTCTGACCATTGTGCGTTCCTATTCACCTGATCATTATGAAGGTGGAGCCTGGAACACAGGAGGATCATGCACTGGACAGATAAGGCCTGCTTTGGATGGTGAATTAGTCGAAAATGGCTTTACCAATATAATGCATGAGAAACAGGTGATGGGTTTCAAGCGTGCAATCAATAAGAAGGCAAACAAATCAACTTTGAGATTGATGGATATCACAAAAGCCTTTGGATACCGCCATGATGGACATCCAGGCCCATACCGGAGCCCTGACCCAAATAAGATTACAAAAAGGGGCCCAGATGGGAGGCCCCCACCACAGGATTGCTTACACTGGTGCATGCCAGGTCCAGTTGATACATGGAATGAGCTGGTGCTTGAAATCATAAGAAGAGAATTCCAGGGCAGCCAAAAGTTTCCTTCATGAGAATTACTGATGTTTGTTGTTTAGTAGTATTCTTGTACTTCGGTAATTCACAGGGTACTTTGCTTGGAAAGGTTTTGTAAGTTACGGCTGGAGTTAGGGTTAACCTATCATCTGCTTTTAGAGCATCCTTGCAGAGAAATATCTGTTGTATCAGGCTTGTAATTCATGAACAATAAGCTTATTTGTTTGTCCAATTTAGAAACAATTTATATATATACATCTATAATTTAAAATAGTTCTAATTGATACTCTATTTTTCTTTTTAATCTGTTGGCTCTATATGGACTAAATTTAATATTTTTTGCTTTTCTAAGAGAAATCTGGCATGAAGAGGTTGTGCTAATGGTTGATTTGGTTGCTGAACTTAAAAATTGCTCAGACAGGATTTTCAATGCATATACAATCCAGCTGCAGTGCATAAATTTCTCTGGCTCTTTCACTTTTGATACTGGCGCTTCCTTTTAGAATGTCATAAATAAGCTCATCGTAGCTGATCTTTCACTGAGCCAGGGCTGGAACTGTTCACATTCTCAGATGTTCAGACATTGAACTTTATGGTCTTTATATTTCTGGCTCTTGATATCCTTATATTGTATTTCACATGTGGTGGTGACCGGGCATTGACGGACTAACTACCTGTAGAGTACTGCCGCACCGTAAAGCAAAGGAGTTATTATTCTTGTTCTCTGGCCTTACTCTTGACATGGAAATATGGAGGTATGTTTAGTCTGTTACTTTTTCCTTTGCATTGGTGATTGACATAATTAGTATACTGGCTGCATGAAACTTATACTACTGCGGGGCCACAATTGCCACTGTCAAAAGTGAATCAATGCTTTTCCTACTGGCCTTGTTTTGGGACCTTGTTAAGTGATAGATATCATTTTGCAGAATAATTGGAGCTGTACCAAATGTCAAACCTCTGAAGTTGGTATGTAAGGTTTCTTTTTTGCTCCACAAAATATGTAACCTGTGATAATCATGATCCTATACATTCCTTGTGTTAATTATTCTGCCGGTTTTATAGTCGTTTGTTGCTGACATTCTTGTTATGTGTGTTAAGTTGAGAGAATTAACACAATATTAGAGAGAGACGAAGAGTAGTCAAAATTTAACCTACCTCTCACAAATCACTTGTATTTATATTATACAAAAGACATATAAAAGACGTATATACCCTCTAGTGGAATACTAACTAGTATTTATATAATACCCTAATACTCTTAATTGTCCCCCTCAAGCCGAACGATATATATCATATAATTCAAGGTTGGAACAAATGACTATAAGACATGTACGACTCAATACTTTGGTAAACATATCTGCAAGTCGATTTTCATACCTCACAAATGGAGTCATAATATTTTCAGCTATTATCTTGTCTCGAATAAAATGACAATCAACTTCAATATGTTTGATTTTCTCATGAAATACTCGATTGACTGCGATATGAATAACTGTCTGATTGTCACAAAACAGTTGTAAGAGAGGTTGAACTGGAAAGTCAATTTCTTGGAGAAAGTGTAGCAGACACGTCCACTTACTTGTTGTATGTGTCATTACTCTATATTCAGTTTTAGTACTGGATCTTGTTATCACAGTTTGTTTTTTGCTCTTCCATGAGATAATGTTACCTCCTAAAAAAGTACAATAATCAGTGGTTGATCTCTGATTAGAAGAAGAGTTGACCCAATCACCATTTGAAAAACCTTCCACTTTAAGATATCCATTAGCTTGATATAACAACCCAAAACTCAGAGCACGTTTGAGATATCACAGAATACGAGTAACTGCCTCTCAATGTGGTACTCTAAGGCATTCCATAAACTAACTGACTACACTAACTGTATAAGAAATATTTGATTGGATAATAGTGAGAAAATTGAACTTTCCAGCTAACCTGTAATACTGACCTGGATTCTCAAACAATACACCATCATCCAACAACAATTTCTAATTCGGATCCATAAGAATATCAATTGGTCTACCACCCAGCAAACCTGCTTTCTCTAGCATGTCAAGTATATATTTTTTTGAGATAAGCAAATACCTTGTTTAGATCTAGCAACTTCAATACTCAAAAAATGTTTGAGTTTTCCTAAATCTTTAGTATGAAATTGATCTCGTAAAAAAGTTTTTAACTGGGCAATCCCCTCAAAATTATTTCCAGCAATCACAATATCATATACATAAACCATCAATAGAATATATCTAGTTTCCATTTGTCTATGAAACACATAATGATCTATTTGACATCGAAAAAGAATAAATTCTAAAACTTCATCTGAAAACTTACCAAATCATGCCCTTGGTGACTGCTTCAAACCATACAGAGATTTTTTAACCGACACAACACATTTACAATCCTCCCCTTGAGCAGTAAACCTAGGTGACTGCTCCATGTACACCTCATCAACCAAATCACCATGTAAGAAGACATTTTTGACATCTAACTGAAACAAGGGTCAATCAAGATTAGCAGCCAAAGAAATCAATAAACAGAAAAAATTTGGCGATGGGAGAAAATGTATCCTCATAATCAATGTCATAGGTTTAAGTAAAGCCCTTAGAAACAAAACGGGCTTTGAGATGCTCCAAAGAACCATCTGAATTAAATTTAACAGTATACATCCAACGACAATTAATAGTTTGTTTACCAGGAGATAAATGAACAATATCACAAGTCTCATTATGATGTAAGGCCTCCAACACCATTTCCATAGCTAAAAAAATTGGCCGCTCTAAATTTGGACTCTCTTATGATTTATTATTAATTTTTTAAAATCTTTTTTAAAATAGAAAAAATGAAAATTTTCAAAGAATTAAAAATTACAGAAAAATCATTAAAAAATAGAAAATTACAATCTAACATATTAAAATAAAAAGTACGTATTGTCTAGAGTTTAAAAAAATTAGTCGTGCTAAATTTGGACTCTTCTATGATTTATTATTAATTTTTTGAATTCTTTACTCAAATGGAAAATATGGGATTTTTAAAGAATTAAAAATTACATAAAAACTATTAAAAAATAGAAAATAGTAAACTAATTGATTAAAATAAAAAGTACATATTTTCTGGAGTTTAAAAAAATTGACCGCGATAAATTTGGACTCTCCTATGATTTATTATAATTTTTTGAATTCTTTTTTAAAATGGAAAAATGAGATTATTAAAGAATAAAAAATTATTAAAAAATAAAAAATTAAAATCTAACTGATTAAAATAAAAATTACGTATTTTCTGAAGTCTAAAAAAATTGGTCGTGCTAAATTTGGACTCTCCTATGATTTATTATCAATTTTTTAAATTTTTTCTTAACATGGAAAAAATGGGATTATAAAAAAATTAAAAATTATAGAAAAATTATTAAGAAATAGAAAATTACAATCTAACTTATTAAAATAAAAAGTATGTATTGTCTGGAGTCTAAAAATTTGCGGCGCTGAATTCGGACTCTTCTATGATTTATTACTAATTTTTTGAATTCTTTCTGAAAATAAAAAAATAGTACAATCACAGAATAAAAACTTGAAGAACAATTATTAAAAAATATAAATTAAAATCTAACATATTACAATAAAAAGTACGTATTGTCTAGAGTCTAAAAAAATTGGTCACGCTAAATTTGGACTCTCCTATGATTTATTTTTAATTTTTTGAAATCTTTCTAAAAATGAAAAAAAATGGGATTATGAAGGAATTAGAAAAATTATTAAAAAAAAATTACAATCTAACTGATTAAATAGAAAGTACTTCTTGTCTGAAGTCTAAAAAAATTGGTCACGCTAAATTTGGACACTCCAATGATTTATTATTTATTTTTGAATTCTTTCCTAAAATGAAAAAAATGGAATTATCAAATAATTAAAAATTATAGAAAAATTATTAAAAAATAAAAAATTACAATCTAACTTATTAAAATAATAATTACGTATTGTCTAGAGTCTAAAAAAAATAGTGTCGCTGAATTTGGAGTCTTCTATTATTTATTATTAATTTTTTGAATATTATTTCAAATTAAAAAAATGGGATTATCAAAGAACCAAAAATAGCACAAAAAATATTAAAAAATAAAAAAATGCAATCTAACTTCTTAAAATATAAAGTAAGTATTGTCTGGAGTCTAAAAAAATAGGCCGCGCTAAATTTGGACTCCCCTATGATTTATTATTAATTTTTTGAATTCTTTCCTCAAATAAAAAAAATGGGATTATCTTAAAATTAGAAATTGAAGAAAAATGTTAAAAAATTGCAAGCTTACATATTAATATAAAAGGTGTGAGAACCCAAATTTTTAGAAGTAGTTTAAGCATAATTACGTGTACTAATTGCAATTATGTGAAATTATTTATTAGATAGAATTTTGTGTATGAAAATAATATTGGGTTGATGTTGAAATCACTTAAAAATTTGGGGGGAGGCAAGCATAATTATTAAATTTTCATGAAATATCTTTACATTTGTTAGCATATGAAAAAAGGTGGATCATTTTAAAAGTCAAGTGCATGTGTGTGTGTATGCCGGGTGTGTGTGTGTACTTTAAAGTGTAGAAAAAGTGTGTGAGTTGCTAAGGTGTAGTAATGTGTATGTGTACTTTGAGGTGTAGTAAAGTGTGTGTTTAAACAATAATTCAGTGTATGTTTTCTTCTTGTTTGAACCGAGAGTGAGGAAGAATAAACAAAAAGAGGAAAAAAATATGTGTGTGTGTCCATTTGAGCCGAGAACAAGGAGGAAGAGAGAAAACAAGCCTTGGTGGGAGTTTTTAATTCCAACCGAGAGAGAGAGAGAGACAAAGAGAGGGAGTTGTCTGGTCGAAAAAAAGAAGAGGAAAAGAGAAAAATGGGAAGTAGAGGGACTAACCGAAAATAAGAAGAATGAAACAGAAAGCTGAGTTATCGAATTCAAATAATAATTCTGAGATACAGGGTGCTATGCAATATGCTCTCCTTCAATCTCTTTGCAAACAATATTTTATTGACTATCCTTTGATTTGTATTCCAACTTGTGCTATCGTTATTTTAGAATTTCGATTGAATATCGTTGAATATTTTGATATCATTGATCGTGATATGCGGATATTGAGACGATATCATGTCGTGACAGCCAATAACCGATGTATCGCCAACCAAGAGACCCGTGAGATTAGGTTGAGGTGGGATGTTTGGTGAGGTGTCAGACCAAGTATTAAGATTCTGCA